CTTCTTAGTTTCACATTTAGGGTTTAGGTCTAAGGTTCAGGGTTTAGGGTTTAGGGTCTACCGCTTCGAAATAGGTACTAATGTAGACCCCTGATTAATAAACCCCCTCCCCTTAGTAGTGATTATACTAGGGATCCTAATATTAAGGCCCTTAAAAGAAGAGGGGTTAATAATCAGGGGTCTACATTATGTCTGCAGTCCTGCCAAGACAAGATTAGCAACAGCAAACAGAGGAACCCCTCACAGTCATGCTTGCTTTCTTTGTCACTTGGGCGATGCTTCTTGGCGGCTGATCCAAGACAATAAGCGAACTGCACAACCAATACAAGAATGTCATTGTATTCATACACCCTAAACCCTAAACCCTAGATCTCCTCAATCGTATAAAGCTTGAACATCACTATCAGCCCTCGGACGACTACTCACTTGTAGAGGATGCATTGGCCCTCATCTTTCAGGAGTGCACCAAAATCTTTGGCCATGCAAGACGGACCTGGTTTAGGGTTTAGGGTTTAGGGTTGGTTCAATGATGTTCGGTGAGGATTCAGGGACCAGGGCTTAGGTTGTCAAAAAAATCATCCAACGCAGGTATCTGCCAGAACCATGGGCTTTTTGTAGGGCCTTCACTCTTCAGTAGAAAGCAACATCTTTCGCAAATTCACCCAGAGACCACGAGGAAGGTTGCCCTTCTCACGTTGCTTCTTCATGAACGCTACTACGTCTTCTGCGGAAAGCTCGTTCCCCTGCGCATCGCGCGCACCATCGATGAAGAATCCTTGCGGGGACATCTTTCTGACATCCTTGCTGCTGTCCTCATCGATAAAGGTATGGGCCGCCTTGATGAAGTAGCAAGACTGTGAAGCCTGCGCACCACTGCCCAGAAGCACTCGGCACCGTGTGCCTTTGGGAACCGGACGCAATTCGTGGGAACACATGTCAATATCGGACTTCTCGAACCCGGGCTCTGGGCGGTACTGTCCGTACTGCATGGCGTAGCGTTCGTTGTACTCCAACTTGCAGCAGTACGCACTTTCCCTCCCCTCCTGCTCGCCCTCTCCTAAGGTGGACATGGGAAAACTGCTTACAGCCCGTGCTTTGGATTCTACACTCCCCCAAAACTAACATGGAAACTCCGATAGCCTCTTGTTAAAGGGACTTTAGTCTTTATAGGGCCTTTTTTGAGTTTCCATGTTAGTTTCAGGGAGGGTAGAGGGCTTTGTCAGAAAACCAGCGAGCGAGAAAAAGAAATGGCCAGAAAAAGCTGACTAGCAAGGGGTGGGAGGAATGGAATATTAAATGGAAACTACCATAGTGTTGGGGATCATAGGAGCCATAGTCTAAACAATTTGCATCCCCCTTAATAACCCCTACAATACTCCTTATATGATGCTCTACATAACCCCTGAACCCTAAACCCTAAACAAAGGGGGTTAGATGATCCCCTGAATAACCCCCTTTTCGAGGAGTAGAAACTATAGCTCAAGTGAGTTGTTCAATTGCTGCCTGCTTCGCTGCTGCACTACGCAACTTGCCCGATCAAGTTTTAATCAGGGCGTTTTAAGGTCTAGGTTAGGGTTTTCTGTGAACCAAAAGGTTGAAGGGTTCGACCCCATGTGACAGGTAGAGAAAGGCACGCCCAGACCATAGATCCCCAGCCCCGTGCCCCGAACCCTAATCCCAAGCGAAGCCGTAATCCATCTTTAACGCCAACCGAAAATTCAAGCCGTGCCCTGAACCGAAAACCTAGAACCTATGTGTGTGTATATATATGATCCAATACCTTTGTACAACTCCGTAGAATCCCGGCTAGTACAAATTGAGCTCAGCATCTGGGATGGTACCAGTTGTACCAATCAGGAGACTCGTACCAGAGTCGCTTACCAGCCTACTGAATAGGGCTTATAGGGTTTAGGGTAGGATTTTGTGGTTTACGATTTGGGGTTGTCGGGTTTAGGGTCAGAGTTGTCTACCCGCCTATAAGTAGGGTCATTGTTACTATTTGTTCATACTATAGCACTTTTTTGAGTACTAAAGTGATTACGATTCTTACTGTGCGACTTTTACTTGTACTAGTCTTACTAGTATTACTATCCCTATTATTACAGTTAGTACGTCTATGACGATCTTTACTCTGGTCACGTGAATTACGTTATTACTACTATAACCATTGTGACTATTCTACTAGTGTTACTATATTACTAGTATTTACTAGTACTATTACTACTACGTTCATTATTAAAATCATTATTCCTGTTATTGCTACTGCGGCTACTACTAATATTAGTACTAATACTAATACTAATACTACCAGTACCACTACCACCACGACGACTACGACTATCATTACGACTACGAATACGACTACGACTGCGACGACGATGAAGACACGACGACGACGACGAGGACGCAACGACGACGACGCCGGCGACGACGACGACGACAACGCCGGCGGCGGCGGCGGCGGCGACGACGAGGAGGAGGAGGAGGAGGAGGAGCAGTAGTACTACTACTACTACTACTACTACTACTACTACAGTACTAGTACTACACTCGTACTACTCCGAATCCTACTCCCACTGCTACTTCTACTGCTACTGCCACTGCTTTCGCTACTGTTACTGCTGCTACTGCTGCTGCTGCTCCTGCCACCAGCACAACCACCACCACCACCACCACCAGCCCCAGCACCAGCACCAGCACCAGCAGCAGCACCACCACCATCACCACCATCACCACCACCGCCACCACCACCTCCACCTCCACCACCTCCACCAGCACC